ACCGTCAATAGAGTTCTGCAGTTTTCGGCTACTGGAACTTGTAAGTAAGCATCAGCTAGACCGAGTTTCGCAAACCATTTTCCACCGTTAAGCTTGATGAACAAATCTTCAGGTATAGGCAAAGGGTACTGGTGGTTCTCCAACATGGAATTTAAGCCGGTTGAAAAGTCAGCACAAATACGTACCTTGCCGTTTCCTTTCTTTATCACAACTATCGGTGCCGCCCATTCTGAGTAATGTACGCGCTCGATTATGCCTTCCGACTGCAACCTATTTAACTCAGACTCTACTATTGGTTGTGTTGCGTATGGCACTGGACGTTTTGGTCTAAAGACTGGTCTGGCGTCTGGTTTGAGGTTCAGCTCAGCTCTGGCTATCCGGCAGCATCCAAGATCGGGTTGGAACAAACTTTCGTGGCGTCGCTTCAGTTCTGCAATTTGACTGTAAAGTTCGAGGTTCATATTCTGCGTCTCTGCGGGTTTATCGACTTGTAATTTCTGGCATATACTGTTAACTGACTTGTCAAGTAATTTCAATTCCTTCATCCAATCGAGACCCAGCAAATTCAATCCTGGTTGACCTGTCACAAAACAGGTTGTACGAATGTGCTGATCACGGAAACTGACCTGACAATGCAACTCTCCGAGAAGTTACAAAATACCGCCGGATGCGTTTCGTGCTGTGTGGTCTGTGTGGACAAGCGGTGGTCGTCCCAGCATACACCATGTGTCTCGACAAATCAAAATGATGTCTGATGCAGTATCCAACTGCAGCTTAACTTCCTTATCGTTGATCTTCAAAATTGTAAACTTACGCCTGCCGACACCGTCAACCTTGAAATTCGCCGTCACAGTTTTGGCCTCGTTGTGACATCGGAAGCGCACCGGGATTCGACGCCGTATTCCGCTCATTGTTGGTCGCTTCGCAAGACATCACGACTCTTTGTGTCCTCGCTTACCACAACGATTGCAAATGTGATTTCGGAACGGGCAGTTTCGACCAAAGTGCCATGCCCTGCAAAACCAACAAGCAGAAGAGCGTTTAGAATGTGGTGAACTCACATGAACCGATTCTTTCTGAGGACTTCTGCTGACCCTGCAAATGATGTCCTGACTACTCCGGAAGGAGGACTGTTGGATTACTGCAGCATCATGCTTCAAGTTCATCAACCTTTGGCATTCGTTCGTCACTTCCTGCAGTGTGATCTCGGGATTTTGTTCAATTCTGCTCAGTACTCTTGTTCGGGCATCCGCATCTTTGGTTGCTTGAAGATCACACACATAAATAAGGCACTTGTACTGATCAGCTGTCATCTTGTGAAACAGCGACCGTTCACACTCACGATTTAAGCGAATCGAGTAAGTAACCCAGTCTTCGTCGTCTCGCTTGATCATTGTCAGGCACTTGTATCGGATATTGAATAATGACGACTGCTCTCCAAATATCTGGGACAAAGTAGCAACCGCTTCTTCGAATGTTAAATCAGTGCTCTTTTTCGGCAAGATGAAATTCATCAACTTTTCTTGCTCGGCCGCACCCAACTCCCGCAGCATGAGGCGTACTCTCTTGTACTCTGAAGCACTGGCTAAATCAACGCGAAAAAGGTCTTCGTATGTATGGAACAACGATTCAAAGGTAATACGGCATCAGCCTCGTAACGGAACTCACAAACTTGCTGGATCAAGGTTTCTGCTGAGGGGCAACGTTCACTTGTTCCTGTTACCGAGCCTGCCTGTAGTAACAAATTCTTGGTCAGCGTTTCGATCAACTTGGCCTGTGCTTTCTCAAACTGCGCCTGCTGTTGCTACAACAGAGACTGCAATTGCTCAAAAATGACTGACATCTTTGGGTTCTTCTGACTCCTGTCGCCACTGTTGTAACGCTTCTTCTTTACCTCTGCCACTGACGACTGTTGTACTGTTGCTAGCTGCCCTATGAGCCTGCGACTGTCTGACTTCTCAGTCATGCGCCAAACCAACCGACGGAATACAGAAGACCAAGACTCGGTAAACAGGGAGTCTATCTACACCATAAGTTAACTGTATTTATAGGTAGCCGAAACATGCTAATTTAGGAGGTCAAGATCGCTCATTTTTGTGCGTCCGGTTTTCAGCCAGTGTGAGTGAGCTCCGCTCCACGGGTTTATCATATTGACGGTATAGTTCGATTCGTTTTACGCGGGCTGGTAATTTCCGGCCGAACAATTCTCAGTCGATACCCAACTTTAGCTCTGCTTAAGTCTCTATTAAGTTCGAGGCCAAAAAATATATTTTAAGAAATTGTCGCAAACGCGAAAATATTATCAAGGTTAACTACACTTAATTTGAGCGACGTGTGCAAGTTAATAGACGATAGTTCACGTAGACATTAATGAGAAAATATAGCAAACCCACCACCTAAAATAAAGTGACTCAGCATGCAACCATGCGATTAGTAAACCGAATGTAGCGTACCTACAAACGCTGCGCCGGTTCTGCCTACCTTCACTGCAGGACCTGTCATCGCTTCGGTCGTGGCCTCGCTCATGGTTCATATGGTTGGCGGCATCCGGTTTCGGGTTTGCCTGTCGCTGTGGCCAGCCACAGGACGCCTGTACCTACAGACGGACCATGGGTGGCTTGCGTTACGCCACCCACAGCTCCAACCACACACCACATATCCAGTGTAAACCCGAAGGAATAAGACCGCGAGGCATGCGGATGGAAGCCATGTCTCATCAACACAGCCGGCACACACTCCTACACAGGCGAAAACAAGCATGCTGTATTTGGTAATCAAGCGCACACAAGGCGGTGGCTGGACCGTAGTCCGCTCCACACTGAGTGCATGGAACCACTCTTCGAGTCTAGCACGGCCACAAGAACCGTGAACCCCGTTCCCTCCAGCAACGACCAACTGTGTCCTGGAGCCAGTATGGCCGAGGTATTGGGTAATAGACAGGTAGGCACCTTGTCAACATGCACATCAAGCGCAGCCACACAGGGGATATCAAGCAACAGCAAGCAACATGGCCATATACGCACGTACCTACATATACATATTTGCATTTGGTTAACTTGTAACATTTTCGTACAATTACCCATCTTTCTTGTTGATATCACCATGATCATGCATATGCAGGACTGCCTCGCACTATCGAGAATAAACAATTTATGTATACATTGTTGATTTACGCACGTGATAGAATACAGTTCCGTGGGTGCCGACATGGGACGCTTCAAGGTAACAATGAGGCGACTGGTACCCAGCGCGAATCACGGTAACAATGACAAAATTTAAGGCAGAGATGCGACCTATCTAATGCGCACAATTCTTTGAGTTTCACGTTGACAGGGTATTCGATAATTTGCAGATTTCCGTAAAGGTATCAGCAGTAGGCCGGTAAACAATACCGACGCTTCGCTGCCACGCAACCACCATTAGTCGTGCATCGGCTAAGGATACTGCGAAAGTCACCCGGCCCCTACGCGCGCTCGAACCAGTGATCTACAGATTATGAGGCAGTCGTGTGTGATCCTTTTCGCCACGGGTCGATTTGAGCAAGCCATTTGCAACTCCAACGCATACGACTGTTGATGGAACTCAGAAAACAAATGTGGTCCGAGTACGGAAGTATTGCAGTTCTAGTTCCTTTGGTCCACAGTGTAAGGGGAAAACTGTGACAAAGTGATAAAAGTTCAAGGAAGAAATTTATTGGAAGAGTTATAAGAGAGCCGTTGATAAATGGGAGAATGAGCAACTTAGTTGTTATCATACGCCCATATGGCTCTCTGCGTCCGGCCATTATGGGAAAGAACCGGAGGTCGAAAAGACGCATGCAATTTAGGCGCACCCTCGGGAATCCCCGGAATACCTATTGATTTCTGTGAACGCTAAACCTACTGCGAGGCAACAGTCGACTTGCATCGGGAACTGCAATTGCACACAGTGCTGCTGAGTCACACGCCTCAGACAAAATACAGCCAGCTGTGACCTTCAAAACACGCTAGTTTCCCAGGCACTGACAACTAGCAGCTGGGTTCTGCGTCATCGATGTTTCTCCTAATCTCTAATTGCGTCGATAGTATTGTCCAGCTACTTCAAGACGTCAGCAGTGTGCCCATACTTCGTAAAGACGCTTCGCTGGCAGGCGAACACCACCAATCGGGTACGGACTAGGAGTACTGCGAAGCCGCCTGTAGCTATGACGGTCCGGACTGGCTACCTGCTGATTACAAACCAGACGACGCATCCGCTCGGTCACAGGCCGACATTAGTGATGAATGCTAATCCAAAAACGTGTTCATTCGTGCAATCTCTGTGCGCTTAGCAAATCGTGTTGCATAGAATCAAAGGCGGTTGCGCTCGTGATGCCTGATTTTGGCCAGCTACGTCTTCCTTGGGGTAGCAAGTTGAATCAGGATCAATAGTTTTGGGGCGCATTCGAGGTTAGGTATGCCTATCTCAAACTCAGGACGAAGCTGATCTTCCAATCAGAAGTATATCGACCGTTTAAGTCACCCAGTTAGTTTGAAAAAGTGTGATATGATTGCCGGTGGCTGTTATATTTGATGAAGAGTGCTTGATGTCCACTGTTTAGTGGTCGGAGAAACTGTGACTTATACAAAACGTAAACCGCAATTCGAACAACGCGTTCATCAGAAGCTGTCTGAGTCAGGTCGACTACTTTCATGGTAACAAAATGGCTCTAATGAAAATGTGTGACCTGATTTTAATCCAGAGACCATTTGACAGGGCATTAATAGCACAGAAATTTGAGATTAACTGGAAAAACAATGGGCATTGTGACTAACTAGAACAATATTAGTTTAGTGTATCAATTGTGATTCTAGTACTGGTGGTTGGTAAACTGTGTTGTCACAACTCCCCGTCGCCATGCCTATTATGTGTTAATAACAATGATGCAAGACCGATGGGTTGATGAGTGTGTCTGAAACAGCATATTGACTGTCAACTGAGCCGCTGGGAAAAGGAACAACGTCAGCGGAGGCACGTAAATGTTAGAAGTCTGAACACCTTCCGTTGCGCTCCCAATCACCGTAACGTGTGGGCTCAGGTCCACTTGGACCGTCGATTTCCCTCAAATGTACATCCCGATTCTCCCCTGGATACTTTGCATCGGAAGTAGTTGTGGCAACTGGTCGGTTAGACTCGGGTCCAGCGGAATGAGCCACGTTAAGATTGTCTATAAACATAGAAAAATAGTACAGCGAAAGAACATACCAACAGCTGATGAGGCAGTTCCAAAAGCAACGGCGCGCAGCGAACTCGTAGAATGTGTTGTAGACCTCATAAGCCAATGTATAACAGTGTAAGCGGAAGACATGTGCATAGGACGATCTTGAATCTTGGCAACTGAGGCCGTGTAATTGTAAGATCTGTGGAGGACACCAATCTGAAGCGAAAAAGTTTAGTACAGATTATAAAAAAACCCACTTAGATAAATTTGGACCGCAACATAGGGTGGTGGTCTGTGTACACCCCCTCCGTAATCTACTGAGCTGCGTTGAGTGGCACTTTTCAATTATTATACAGCCACCAGTATCGGAGAGATTAAATGGTTTGAGCTCCGGCAAACGGGGGTTTCAATATCTTTCACAAGTGAAGTTTTGGAGGTTCCGGTCAGATACAGCCACAGTTTACGGGTTGAGAGCCTAGCTTGATTAATGCACCGCACTACTCTTGCTCACTGGTTTGCTACTACTTACTTCAAGCCAATAGGTAATATGATGAAAACTGAAAGAAATACGTTTTTAGGTCACATCAGCCAAGTCAGCAATGTGCTTTATGTACCCATGAAGAGTGAATATTCAACCATAACGCACAGGCCAATGATACGGATGAAATTAATGACAAATACGAAAAACGGATATGGTGCGCCAGAGAATTGAAAACGTGACAGCGGTGATATCATGGAGTTGTTGGCCATCAGTTTCTGGCTGACTAAATTTTGATCCCCCCAAAAAACGTGACAAATAGGGAACAACTGAAGTACTACAAGCCTGCGTGTAGTTTGTCTGGCCGAGGAAATCGGGATACATTACGACAGTGACTGGCATTAGTGAGGACTTTAGACACCAATTTCTCGCAGGAGCGAAAGTGATTGAATGCAATGATGCCGATGAATTCCATCATTGAAATGCCGTTTCCAACCCGTTATGTTCGAAAGTTTGCGATTTATAGCAGTACACGAAAGCAGGTCGATTATATTAAATCTACGGAACTTCGGGTATCCAGCGCAATGGCAGTCGTGACTGGACATGTTTTCCCTTCCCAGTGAGTCGAAATATTAACGCGTGTCCCCAGAGACCTCCGTTTAATCCGACACTATATGGGGCCAGAATAGTAAAATAAGGAATAGAAGTGGGAAAACTAGCACGAACCCCACCTTTGGACGAGCAGCTAGAAAGTATCATTAAGCCACAGAATCCCGTCGCCGAGTTCCTTTCTTTTACCTCTCTGTTTCACCAGACGCGCTCCATGGCGTCCCCAAGTTACGGATCGATGAATGTCTTCCTTGTGGAAGTAACTGAATAATTTTCGTTCGCTTTGCAGATGAGATGGATAAGCAGTCGCGGACAATCAGCGGCAGCGTCCCGGAGTGTGGAGAGTTCTGAGCTGGTCACCTGGTTCCTTTTTAAATACCCCAAGAGCTCGTAAGGCGCTGCACCAACGAGAAGGTAACCGGCTAAAGGATCACTCACCACTCACTTCTGTAACCGGAGGTGAGTACCTAATGGAGGGTGGATGAACAACCTTGCTGGCCACCGGTTTCTATGTGGACTGCTACCGAATACTAAGAAGGCGTATGAGTCACATGGCTATCGACGGTCTCGTATTCCGCAGTTGCTCAAACGTACCAGAAACGTTTGCTGACGTCTGTGCCGCTATACTTGGGCAGTTCCGGTGCCATTGGCAGTCGTGTTACCGACTCCAGAAGATGCGCGATATACCTTAATCGCTCTGCTGCCTTGCAGGTCAGGTCTTTATGGCTCAAGGTTCCGAGTACGGTCCCCTAAGTTAACCCTCTTCCTCAGCCTGGGCAACAGGGAAGCTGTCTGTCCACACAATGCATGAACACGAACCTACGAAACTATGATATTTATCTATGCTCTCTGCCTTCGCTTTTCTCAGCCAAAGTGCTGGGGACCGGCTCCGCTATACCATGCTCTACCACACATCTGTTACATGTTTTGTTCCACGTTTGTTGAGTTCACCTATCCTTGGTAATCCCTCTGATTTTGGGACTCCGACAACGTGCCACGTTGATGAACAGTTCTAATCGTGTCGATGAGCAGTTCAAGACCGTCTAGGTGCCACGCAATCGCGAAGACATGGCCTTTCTAGCTCCCCGTTCCCAATTCAAGTAGGCCACTTTCAATGTCCGGACGCTCGTGCGTTTAATGTCGCAAGACATCTTTGCTCGCACTCTAGAAACCCTCCCGTTGACATGTGTCGCATCGCTGAGACCCACTTGCAGGACTCCAGCACAACCCTACCATTGACATCATCTGCGTGTTCCCAACGGTATGTTCACATTACGCTTATCCGGAGACGCAACTGCTGGCGCCGTCGGCTTGGCCTAGTGTGGGAATTGTATTAAGCGCGCGCGTAGACGCTGTGCTGCTTGATTAGATACAAGATAGTGTCTGATTCTGTGCAATTCGGCTAGAAAGCTCTGTACGACTTTCCAGTCGCCAGTGTAGCCCGGACTCAGCTAAAGATGAGTTCTACTGTCAACTCTCCGACCTTCTCCATAAAAAACCGCACGGATATCGTGGTGCACACCGGAGATCTTAACGCACAGGTTGGTAAGCTCGATGTTGACGAACGCGATCTCGGTGGTCTGTATTGCTATGGTACTCGAAGGACGGATAATGGAGAACGCCTTCTGCAATCCTGTGCTGATCAAGGGCTATACCTTTCGAGTGCAAAATTTCGGCACCGCTGGCGCCAGTGCATCGCCCGCCGACCTCTTCCGCCTGAACAGCCGTGGAGGCAGATTGACCACATCGCCATCAGTTACCGTTGGCGAGGCTGTATAATGGACTGCAAATCAATTTGGAGTACTTGTCTCACCTCTGATCACGCACTTGTGTGTGCTAAAGTTACCCTCCGCTTTGGTGGCTGTTAGATCTTCAAATTTTCTCGCTGTTCGGAATTAAATACCTAAAATTCTCCACAAGACTTGTAGGCCACTAAAAGAAAAATCAGAAGTCCAACAACCTTGACCAAGAAAAACGTGTTAAGCAAACGCCACCAAAGTCTCTACAACTGCCACAGACCTTCGCCAAATTTATACCTCGCTTAATGGACATCGGTTTCTAAAAAAAAGTCAACTGGTAAAATTAGTAGCTTCCTTACTAAACCTACGTATGTTGGCGGTCAGGTGGAGGAATGGAAGGTTATAGAATTTTCAAAATCAGTGCATAATCGAAGTAAATCGATTAATTGTTAAAATGATTGGTTTTCCTAAATGTTGTTACCTACCCCGGATACCTCACCTCATGAGACGGCTGCCGCGGTGCATCTTGACTTGAAGCCTCCTGGATGGTGCTCTACGCCTATCGGTCCATCGCGTTGGCTGAAATGTTCTAAATTCCACTTCCGTGCTCCGCGGTCTAGTAACATTCTTCTGCTGACAGGGTTCTTCCATGGGCTATTTGGGTAAGTTAAAGCTGTCCATCAGCAGCTCAAATGGGAGCTCGGCAGATTCTGTTGCTTGTGGTTGACACAGCGTTGATCGCAGCTGATATGCATGGCGTACCCATACCTGCGTTCCAAACAGGTCGTAAATGACGTTTCCGCGCTTGCCCCTGATCGTGCCTGGCGTCTATTTCGCGTGCCCCTCCGGTAACCACGTAAAAGTACTGACTAACCCGGTTTAATCGACCATCGCATGGCACCATAGCGCCGATTAAAATCAAGTTTTATCTTGAGATTCCTTTCACCAGCTGTGGGCTCTGAGGACGGCCGAACTGCATCAAAAAGCATGCAGAGCTTTCCCTTCATCATTGCCTCTGTTGGTGATACTCCATCCGGCGTTTGCAGATTTCGTGTAGATCGGTGCAAAAGGAGGAACCGGTCGATCACCTCTATGTCTCCCTCCCACCTTGACTTGAGGAGAGCGCGTTTGAATGTATCCACAAACCTCTCCGCTTGGCCATTCGATTGTGGGTGGAATGGTGGAGACCGCACGTGTTTGATGGCGCAACGTTGGCAGAATTCCGTGAATGTGGCCGAAGTAAACTGTGCTCCATTGTCCGTCACCAATGTTTCAGGGCAGCCAAACCTGCAACCTTGAGACTGTTGCACTGGTTTTCGTGCTGCTCATGAGGGCCAGTTCGGGCCACTTGCTGTACGCGTCGACTACTATGAAAAAGTTCTGGTCGTTGATTGGGCCTGCAAAGTCGACATGAACAAGGCTCCAAGGTTTCGCTGGTTTTGGTCACGAATGGAGTTCAGTCTTTGCCGGTGCTCTGAAGCGGTAGGGCAGTAGCTGTAACTTCTGTCTAGCTGCTCCAGCTGTCTGCCTATAAACAGCCAATACACGTAACTTCGGGCAAGCACTTTCATTCGGTTGAGCCCTGGATGTCCTGCATGGAACTACAGCAACACTCCTTCTTGCAACAACTGCAGGATGACTACTTTCTCCGAAAACATGATGCAATCGGTCACAATGGAGGGTGAATGTCGTCGCTGATAGAACTCCTGCATTTGGGAAGAGGAACACGAACATGGTCAGTTGGCTCCGTGGAAATGTGTAACCTTCTTTAGGATTGGATCTCGAAACGTTTCGGTCCACACAGCTTTTGCCGTAACTGGCAAACCATGTAATGCCTCGCTCACCAGGAATTCGACATCAGGTTCGATCTCAACTGAGGCTATGACCATGTCCTCGGGTTCTTGCTGATGAGAAGCAACGAGGCGTGACAACGCATCTGTTTGGCCCATAGAAACCGTTGACTGACAACGGATCTCAAAATCATAGCATGATAAGGTGAGGGCCCATTGTTGGAGTCGACTGGCTGTATAGGCAGGGTTGCCCTTTTCCGAGCCGAAAATGGCCAGTAGCGGCTTGTGATCCGACAAGAGCTTGAAGCGGCGACACAAGATCTTGTGAAATTTCTTCCCAACAAGCACTATGGCCAATGCCTTCTCCATCTGGCTGTAGTTTCTTTCAGCTTTCATCAACGTCCTGGCGGCATGTGCGATCGCCTCCTGAGATCCATCTGGGGACGTATAGGAAACTACGGTACCGATCCCTAGACTTGATTCGTCTATGGCGAAGATAATTTCTCAGGACGGGTCGAAGAAGTCAGAGGTAGGTCT